CCCACCCGGGAGGCAGTTTCCGACTGCGCCCACGGTGCGGGGCGCAGGGTCGGGATTTGAGCTCCCTGCTGCCCTGCTCCCATCTACGCCGGCAGCCGCCGACGAACAGGTGCGGCAAAGCCGCTCAGGCGTCTCGGCGCCTGTCCCCTGCGGCGCCCCAGTGCGGGGTGCGGGGTTGGGGCTCGCGATCCCCGCCGCCCCGTCACAGTGACCCAATTCTATAAGGGTATGTCTACACTGCATGACTATTTTGGAATACCAAAGGTTTCCTGAAATAGCTACTCTGTGTCTACACAAGCCACCTGTCATTTCGACATTTATTGGGTGCACTATTTTGCCATCCCGGTAAGCCTCATTGCATGAAGGATAAGGGCTGGAAATGTGGTGCTGTGTAGACGCGCCAAATTTCAAAATTAGCTATTTCAAAATAGATTCAAAATAAGATTCATAATTTGTGTAACGCAAATTGCATATCTTATTTTGAGCTGAAGGTGCTGTGTGGATGCACCCTAAATGTTATCTCCCAGAATGTCACCTGCCCGCTCGTTACTTAGGTATTCAGGGTTGTGCTTGCAAGTATATGTTTGTTAGCAACACTGGTTTCCAGTTTATATTGTTTGCTGATTTTTGCCTGGAATATAGGAATTGAAATCATTAAAATATGCTTTTGGTATTGTCTAAAGAATACCACAGGCTTCACTTGCAGTGCATGAGAAGTCCCTGTAAAGTGACTTAAGTGTCCCTTGTGTAAATCTGTGCAGGATTGGGGTCTGAGATTTGTAAACAAGCAGGGTATTTTTCTCTTGTATGTCTGTAAAGCATCATGGAAAAGTTGTAGCATGTTAAAACATGATCATATTGGTCCCTCCCCCCAATTAACTATAAATAATTTTCACCAGTTCGGAAATGTTTGTGACAGTTACACAGGGAATACTTTGTTACTAATGAGCTCTCAGGGAAAAAAACTCATATGAATGAACAGTGTTAATCTCCAGTGCCTTTTCATGATTTTTTTTCACAGGGGGTTTAATCTGCTCTAAGATTGTAGAATTCAGTCTCCATTATACATCTCTCTGCTATTTTGTGTGAAAGGAATTTTTCTTTTTTAAAATGATTGCTGTTAATGAATGGTCCAAGTGTCCCTGCCCTTAATTCAAATCTTGGGGTTTAGTCTGAAAACGGCCTTTTTTGTTCTCCAAGTTAGACAGCGAAGCTGAAGATGTGGGTTTCTGATTACTGGTGGCACAATGCACAAGAATTGCTTTCCTTCGTGCGATCGAGTTGCATTGTTGCTGACGGTCCCATCTCCATGCCAGAAGCGAGGAGAAATGTGTGCAGGAGGAAAATGCTCTCGAAGGGATGAAACTGTATCTGTTTCAATTCCACTCCTGTCTCCCGAGAACTCTTTGTCACGTTCTGTGCGTTCACAACAAATGAGAGAGCTTTTGCGCTCTGCCAAGCTTTTCTGAGACCGATCGTTCTCTCCAAACCACCTTGCAGTCCGCTAAACATGTATCCATTATTTTGAACCTGAAACTTTGGGGAAGGGGAGGACTTTTTCAGGAGGCCTGGTGCAATAAAACCAGAAAGCTTGTTCCCCATCACTTAGTGTAGCTGTGCTAACATTCGCTTGAATCCTAGCCAACCTTATTAATGTCAAACGTTGCTGCCGGAGGGGCATGACTGTTAGTTATGATTGCTGTGGCAGGAGGTAGGAGCCAGTCGGATATCCCCCAAATAAAAACTGTGGCCTAGCTGCACTGTTTTCTTGTTTGTTTTTGTGTGTGTGTGTTTTAATGAAAGTTGATTTTCATTTAGTGTTTCTTGTCAGCAACCATCACTGCTGCTTGAAGAGCTACAGTTGAATATATTCTCCAAGGCCAATTATTACTTTCCTTATCTTTTATAGCCAGCTTTGGCAGCTCTGCTGGAGGCCGAATGCATTTTCTATATCGGCAGTCAAAGCAGAGACCGCATTCCTTAGCTGTGATACATGTAACACCATGGCACCATGAGCAACAAAGACCCCGATTCGCTCTACATTCCCATGCTCTTATGTATGGCCTGCTCAGCTCCAAGTTTACAAAGACGCCAAACAGCCAGAAGAATTAGGGTTTATGTTTCCTTTTCAGTCTTTCACAAACACTTTATTGATCTGGGGCCTTTCCTGGCCACTCGGGGTATTAAGTAGTTACAAAATGGAGGATTTTCTTGTTAAAAACGATACATTTGGGGTGTTTATTAGCTGTCTATTCATAATATTTTTATTTGAAATGAGCGGCTTCCTCCGAACGAGGAGGGGCTGTTCTTTATGTGCGTGAAGCCTTTGACAATGATGGACACATTGAAGTTGTGCTCCACTTGTTTACAAAAGTCTCTATTTACTAGCACATCAAAAGCATTTATCTCTCCTCCAGCACAATGGTATATTCATGCTAACAGTACTTATTCCGAGATTTGAAGCATTGTTTTATTGGAAGACACCCCAGTACACTCTGAGACCCTGTATTTCAATTCTTATTACCATAAATATATAAAACACGCATGTGCGTGCGCACTGTCTCTCTCTCTCCCTCTCTCTCTCTCGGTGAATGTGGGGAACCTGGGGGCTGATGTGGTCCCCGACTTGCCTGGATCCGGCCCCCGAGGCTCAGGGCTTCCTCCCAATATTGGGGAGCCTGCGTGGTTGCTCCAGCCTCCCCCAGGCACCACACTGCAGGGCCAGAGCACATAAAATCTACTAGCTCCACTGGTGTTCAAGGGGAATGTGGGGAATAGAGATGTAAGCGACTAGTTGAGTCACTACCCGACTACTCGCTTCCCCCCCCCCCCTTGCTGCCTCTGTATCAGAGGCAGCAAAGGTGGTGGGGAGAGTGATGTAGATTTAATCACTGTCTCCTTTGCTTTTCTCTTTCCTGGTAAATATAACAAAGCTGATATTTTTCTTTCTGTCCCAGCAGTGAAAATATTTTCAAATAAAATACAGAAGAGCCCTGTTTAAAACAAAAGTACTTAGAACTAATCTCTACTTACAGAGAAGATGTTAGAATTCGAGCCCAGCAAATCTGCGGCTGTCCCCTTTATATCTTTCGGTGTCCCATACGCCGATGTGGACGCAGGCATCTGTGGCTCATTTTTTTTCAGATACGGATGCGGGTACAAATTTTGTATCCACACAAGGCTTCAGTTCGAAGGATTAGTTACTGCTTGTGTAGTTTATTCTCTCTCATTAAATATTGGTTTTGCTGTATACAGGTTTTAGGTTTATTGGTCTAACAACCTTCCATCCGAATCCATTTGCTACCTGGAAAGTTATACCAAAGATACCCGTGTGATACGTGTGGAACTTTCCTTTACATTGATGTAGGATTTAAACAGAGCAGAGTAAAGTTAGCCTACCCTATGCTATATGCCGTGCTTGATGTTCCATCATTAAAACACGTAACCTCTCTCTCTCTCATTTGTATTAGATTCTATGCTGATGGTGGCGGAAAGGCTGGAGGGTCCTTTCAACATTGAATCCGTCATGGACCCTATCGATGTGAAAATTTCGGATGCAATCATGAACATGCAGGAGAACAGCTTGCAAGTGTCTCAAAAGGTATATCTTCCGCACTTGAAAAAGAAAATTCTGTTTTTACTCCTCCAGTATTGTCCTTTATCAGCACCTATTAAAATAGCTGTCGTGGGGCAAGCCTACCCTACACAATTAAGGTAACCTAAGATACATTGATGTATATCCACTGCCGAGATAAAGTCGCTTTTCTATGTCCGCGCTATGTTCTTTGTGTCGGTGGGGCATGTCCTCGCGAGGAGGGCTTGCACCAGTGTGGGGCACTAGGGGGCAGCTTCAGAAAGGCAGTGACCATCAATGTAAGCAATACAGTGTCTACGTTGATACTGTTTTGACTTCACAATGTAGAGATTTATAGAGCGTGGGCAACGTAAGCTGCTTTACACCACACCTCTGCTTGCCGCACGAGCATCACTCTGCAATTGATCCTCCAGGGTTCAATTTAGTGGGTCTAGTAAAGACCCACTAAATTGAATGCTGGAGGTGTCCTTATTGGCACCAGTATACCTCGCTTTCATGAGGAATAAGAGGAGTCAACGGGAGCGTTTCTCTCATTGACCTCCCATTGTGGGGCCACCCCAGAAAATGGATGCAAGGTACGTCAACTCCAGTTGCACGATTCATGTAACTGGAGTTGTTATCATGCATCGATTTTCTCCACCAGGGAAGACCTGGCCTTACAGCGACCTAACAGTAGTTTGATCAGGCCTTTGCTGTATCCTGTATATTTTAGTGCTGTTTGATCATCTTTGCTTGGGGGAGGAATATTTGGGAAACGGTGTTTGACTAGAAATACTAAGGGGTGACGAATGTCTGGTGTGAAATCCTGTTCTCTCATGCTACTTAATCAAATCACCTAGGTTTTCCAAGGGTGCGGACAGCCTAAAACACTTTCTCAAGGCCGGGCCTCTCGTTCAGTCTCTGAAGGTGGCTTCAGTGCGCGTTTTAGACCCTACAACCCAGAGGAGCGGCCAACCACAGCGGCTGGCACGAGTTTGGATAGACTGGTGAGTGCCTCTTGGCCTGTCTCGCTGACGCAGAGCCAGCGTGGTTCATTATGGACATACTGTGCTTTGTCACCCTCACAGCCACCTCTGGCAAGCTTAAAAGGCAAGGAGGTGAGAGCCCAAGTGGATTGAGGGTGGGGTGTGCATGCATCTTTCTAGTCCATAATCTGGTCATCTTCCTCAGAGTGGTTGAGGAAACGGACAACTTTTTTACCCTCTGTAGAACGTGTAGAATCGTAGAACACTAGAACTGAAAGGGACTTGGAGAGGTCTCAAGTCCAGTCCCCTGCCCTCACTTCAGGACCAAGTACCCCCTAGACCATCCCTGATAGATGTCTATCCAACCTGCTCTTAACTCTCTCTAGTGATGGAGGTTCCACAACCTCCCGAGGCAATTTATTCCAGTGTTTAACCACCCTGACAGGAAATAAATCTACTCATACTCTATGCCTGAACTAGCTCTGTACTGGTATTTCAGGTGAGTGCCTCTAGTGGTGGTTTCACACGCGAATAATATCATATTTGAAAATCTGCTTTTAATTTTACATTTAACCCCCCATCACCACCCTAGAGGCCATTGATTCTGATGGAACTCCTTTGATTTGCACCATATCAGGCCCTGGTCTACACGCCTCTCTTGCGACGTAAGTCCCATTTTAGAAATAAATTGAATCCCCATTGAGGTCCTGTATTTTGCTGCCTTTTTAAAATAGGATA